TTCTTTCAGGTAGTGTTTGCCTCCTTTTTAATCTTTTAGCTCGTGTTCTGCTTCTTAACTTTGAACAACTTCAGTTTTAGCTCCTTCAGCCAAGTCATCTTTAAGCTTTTCCACAGAAACGATCCTTCCTCTGGTTTCAGCTGCGACGCCTCAGCACGGAACAGTCTGAACATATTTTTGGATCGGCAGAACATTTTTCAGTAGCATGATTTGATTAAAGTGACAGTAGCAAAGGTCTGTGGGTGGATCCCCGATGTACAAAGTACGTTTTAGTATATAATTAACACGAGTTCAATAAAAGGTCAGTTCTATAAAATCCATGTCACACGGCAGCAATAAACGACGCCACGCTGGTACAGAGGTACTGATGTGTGACTGGTACCACGATGGCATCGCTGGCACCAGTGGACAGGTAGATGTTGTCAGGGTTGGAGGGGATGCCCCCATCTCTCCTCTCTATGTACCGGGCCACATCCTGGCGAACACATTCAATCCCCTGGCTGGCACTGTAGGCCCCTTCAGAACACAGGAGTGAACTTTGACTCAAACAGAACCGGCCGACTCACTCAGGTCAATATTCAAAAGTGCACAAACTGGAGCGGCGGTCTGACCTAAACTGTGGCCCCCGCAGGCGTCCAGGATTCGCCGTGCTCTCTTCTTGGCGTCCTCCGGAAACTTGTTGTCTTCCAGGAGTTCGGGGTACGAACACAGAGCCAGCACCTGAGAGTGAGGGACAAACGTGACGGTGGTGAAACACGATCAGTTTGAATTGAAGACGTTGTGCTGCAACGTTACAAGAACCAGTCGAGCGGTGCAGCTCTCACAACAAAACATTTTCCTCTGTCATTACAAGTCAGTGCACGAGTCAGTGCTGGATACGATGTATATAAAAATGTTTCTTCGAGGGTTCATAACGTGTCCAACCTGTCTGAAGAAGGTGATTGGTCTCTGACCCATGGCGTGGGCGTCACCGATGTTCGCCTTGATGACCTCGGTGAAGGGTTTCTTGACTCCCTGCAACAACGAAGAACGTGTTATTAAAACAAATAAAACGAGTTCCTGCAAGTCCATTCATCAGACGCAGACGTGAGTCAATTTACAGCTTAAGAAAAAAACAACTGAAAATGTTTACTCTTTTCTACAAGCTCCTAAAACCAGTTCCTGAAATAAACACTTATCTGTGTTGTTGTCCACAGATGTCTATAAATTAAATCAGAGGACTCACATCACATGGTCCCCATTTGCTTCCCCTCCTCCCTCGTTAGCCCCTCTCTGTTTTACAAAGACCCTGGTTCAGAGGCTGGGTCTAATGTTGGGGGGGTGGGGGGCTGCTGGAGCTCACAATCCACTCAGTGCTGGTGTGTGGGGTTTTAATCAGCTCATGTTTGATCTTTTAACTGGCTCGTCTCTTTGTTTCACTCCTCCGTCTGATCATTTGTCCTTGTTTTATCAGTAAATCGGACCCAAGTGGACAAAAGAAGTCCAGTTTTGAGCGTGTGCGCTCTGCGTGTTGATCCCAGCGCGCAGCAGCAGCTGTTGCTGTTTCTCACGTGACGTCAGGTGACGAGGACTGACTTCTGGTAAAGCTGAACTTAAACGTTAAAGAAGAAACTGACAGTTTCAGACATGTCCCTCAGGGCCAATCCAATCAAAACCAAAGTTTAAACGCTCATTAGTGGAAAGTTTGGAGTTTTGTACCATGAGTTGTAGATAAAAACTGGTTGTTGTGGGTTAAAGACGACGTTAGGGCACATTCACACTAACGTGATCTCATGAGAGCAGGGTCAACACAGATCGGCCTTGGACTTCCATGTGTGGATCACAGACCTAAAGAGATAAGGCTGAAGCTGCAAAAATAAAGAAATCAATAAATGGACTCGCACACAAAATAAAGACCTGAATCTCACCGTGCTGGTCTACGTCTAAGGACTGGAAAAACAACAAAACCAGTTATAATTCAGACTCACTGCAGAACTTTGACGTGACGTCTCAGAGCAGTTGATGAGGGAGGGGGCGGCCCCAGAGGCCATCTTAGCACCAACAAACTGTTTTTTACCCACTATGGAGTATGCTGTTTGTGGGAATCACTTTTGTTTGGTGGCTTCTCGGACTGAAGAAGTCCTTTAGATGAAGGACGAAACGCCTCAGCAAAAAAAGAAACCATCCAGACGACGTGACTGAACATTGTTGGAGTCTGGCTTTTAATAAAATTAATTATATACTAATTGAAGCAAACCCTACTTCCATTTTATTTTTTGTTTTATCATACTTCTAGACTTGAATTTCTATTGAAATGTGATTTAATTTAAATAATTGAACTCAATTGACACCTTAGGAGAAGCTTCAGACTGTTATCAGGCACACAGCAGGGCTGCTACCTCGGCCCTTCACTATTTACAATCTTCATAGAGGCCTAGCCCAAACTATAAGGTAAAATAAGGAGCTAAAGAAAATTACCAAAGTGGGAGAAGACCACATAAGTGGGCATTTTGTTGATGACATAATTATGTACCTGCAGAATCCTAACATAACTCTTCCAATACTGATATCAGTCTTTGAGAACATGGGAATGAGAGGATCTGGGTGTCTTTTGTGATCCCTGTGTGTTCCAGCTCTGCTTCTGTTACCTGTGTCTCGTTACCTTCCTCAGGTGTTTGTGATCAACTCCTTGTTAGTGTCCCTACATGTTCTTCATCTTTGTGTCTTCTCATATGTCCGTGGATCGCAGGTTGCCACGGTCTGTCGTGATCGCCTCATTTCATAAGTTTTGCTGCCACGTCAGCTTTTGTTTTCTCTTAAACTATAAACCAAGTAAGGATATTAGGCAAAGACACAAATTTAAATGGTATAAGAACTCAGTTAAATACTTGAGAGTTGTACATGTGCAGGACTTGAGACAAATTAAAAAAATTATTATGACACAAGATACTAAAAGATGTCATAAGATGGTTAAAATTTGTATTAGATTTTAGTTCAAGAATTTAGATCGTACAAAAGAACATCCTGCCCAGGCTGAAATATATTGTCTTATCATTACATTCAAGATCTCAGTTTACAATTAAGGAATAAACAGATATCCAGGTTTCTCTAGACAGGGAAGAGACCAGCAGTAAAATTCAAGACACTTCACTTAGATAAAGATTATGGTGGCTTAGCTGTATCTAATCTTATAGATTATTATTATTATGTGTGCACTTAAGACGCATGATCTATCGGTGTTCCCTGATTTACCGTGGTGCGGATAGAAAGAGAAGTGGAGTAGAGGTGGTCCTGAAGACTTCTAGACATTTTTGTTAATTTTGCTTGATATTTTTTTGTTTTTACTTCCTGTAAAGTACTTTATTACACATTACTGTATGAAAAGTGCTTCATAAAAGGTTTGACTGATTAAATTAACTCTTTCACTAAACTGAACGAAAAGAAAACTGCAAAAACAACATGTCGCATTTTGTTAATTGAAATAGCGGTTATAGTTCTAACAACACTGAGTGGATGATGTAATAAAATTACTCCAGTCGTTACATGCTGTTCTGAAAATGATCTGTTTATTTTGTAATCAATGGGTTTGATCTGCGCGATCAAACTATCTGAAAGTCTTCCACGAGATGATTTTATGAAAAACAGCCGGAGGTGGGGTTTTCCTCACGTTCTCCAGGTTTAAGAGTCGGATGAGCTTATCTGAGGTCCATGTAAGTGGAAGTTAAGCCTTTATCCTTTTTTTCCAGGCATGCAACAAGGGGCCTGGTTGTTCTCTGATCCGGTTCGTTCCAGCGTTCTCCTGCTCGCTCAGCACCAGGCACTGATTACACAATACCAGACCAGGACAAGAACCCTTGTGGGTCACTAAATTAAAAAAAAGCCGAGCCTAAAAACCATCCCCAATGAATTTATAACGAACTGTTCAGTTGGGCTGCTTTAACTGTAGCTAGATGATCCAAACTGGGAATAATCGAGGCTAATTTAACCACATGACCATTTCTAAGGTTGTTCACAGACAAAATATCTTCTGTAACACAACACGGCAATCAGATCACCCACCGACGGGGAAAGGGAGAGGCAGCGAAACTACAAATAACAGGTGGATTCTGTTTCCATCCTCATCGTTGTCAGAAAACGCAGACCTGCCAGAAGCTGAGGTCCAAGCCCGAGCTGCAGGACAGACGGTGTCATGGTCTGGGTAAGGGTTTATAAGGGTCACCATCACAGCGGCGCACAAACGCACACATTATGCAAAAAAATCTGCTGAGCCACCAGGAAAAGAGTCGCAGCCACAGATCTGACAGGAAGCACACTCTCAGAAAACTGTCAGCTGTTGCTGCACACGCCTGCGAACCCTCAGAACACCAGGAGATCCTTCAGGTCCGACGTCAGGTAGCAACAGTGTGAAGGCTGGTTTTCATTGTTGTACTTTTTTTGATTTCTAACTACCCCCTGCATACTTTGCACTATTTTTCCACCCACATGAGAATGTTCCTCTCACGCAGGACATTTATGCTCTGACCTTTTTTATTTATTTATTTATTTTATAACTTTTGTACCTTTCAAAAAATCTAACTTAATTCACAAAAATGATCCACACACTGAGATCTCATAACCTTCAGTGTCCTATGCTACTTTAAGCTTTTAAACTTTAGCTACTTTAGCTTACTTTTTAATACCTTAGTGTTACTTTGCTAGCCTTTTACTACTTTTAGCTTTTAAAGTGAGGTTGCCAGTTCGAGCCCAGGTTGCGTCAGGAATGGCAGCCGGTGTAAAACAACTGTCAAATCTTTGACGTGGGTTTGTTTGCGGAGACAACCCTTAAACAACGGATCAGTTGAAAGGAAAACTGCAACAGATAGCCTTTTGCTAATTTTAGCTCCTAGCTACAATTTTCTACTTTTAGCTTTTTGACGACATTTAGCTTTAAGGTTGCTTTTAATTTTAAGTTGTAGTCGTTTGAAAATAAAGTAGGGCGGCACAGTGGTGCAGTTTGTAGAGCTGTTGCCTCTCAGCGAGATGGTTGCCAGTTCAAATCCCACCGGGGGGTGCATTCTGGGTGGAGTTTGCATGTTCTCTCCGTGCATGCATGGGTTTTCTCCGGGTACTCCAGTTTCCTCCCACAGACCAAAAACATGCATGTTAGGCTGATTGGTGACTCTAAATTGTCCCTGGGTGAGAGAGAGAATGGTTGTGTGTCCCTGTGATGGACTGGAGACCTGTCCAGGGTGTCCCCCGCCTCTCGCACAGTGATTGCTGGACATGGACACCAGTGACCCCCGTGACCCAAAAAGGAAGAAGCAAATAAAGATGATGGATGAAAATCAGATTAGTAGCTACAAGTGTTGAGGATATCAGCTTCTACTACACTTAATTTGAGCTCATTATCTAGAATCTACAGCGCCTGGCTGTGGTGGCCATCTTGAATTGTTGTGGCTCCTAAAGATAATCAGCTGTAGCTGTAAATCCACCTTCTGAGAGTTTCCTAAAAGTTTAACTGTTCTGCTAAAACAGACAAATGGACGTGCACAGACAGACACAGCAGTGGGAGATAATAAGGTGAATTTTTGTGGCTCTAATGCAAAAAAACCCCAACTTGTTTTTGACAAAGACTAAAGTGTAAGATCAGCTTTTGAAGTTCTTGATGCCCCACAGCCTTTGTTCTGCTCGTTGCACATATTGTTGAAGGATTCATTTTTCCAGAAACTTGGATGGGACGTCTTTGTGCCACGACAAGTGATGCGCTGGAGCGGACAGCTCTGGCTGGAGCGGACAGCTCTGGCTGGAGCGGACAGCTCTGGCTGGAGGCGGCTGCGGCGCTCTGTTATTACATAAGACGAGCTCTCTCCGTCCTTGTTTCTCTAGCGTTGCTCACTCAGGGGGGAGAGTTTTTGTTGGACTGAGCTGCAGCTGGGAGGCCCAGCAGGCTCCGCTGCATTTCTTTGCAGGTTTAAAACCTGATAAGACTGGTCCACACGCCTAGTTCTGCTTTATAACGACCAAAAATAAATGTTTGGCATTTAACTAGAGGTAACATTTCTGTGCATGTCTGTTTATTGGCTTTGCAGGCGGGTGATATGCATTCTTTCAAACCACTCTTATTTGGCTTTAACGCACAGGAATCCCCCCCAACAGGTGTCTGAGCAGCTGGTTAAACTGGTCTACTTTAAATAACAAGTTCCCTGTTTGTAAAACAAAAAAAGTTCAAGTCCTCCGCAGGAATTTTAGTGTAAATGAAACAAGTTTTTCCAGAGTCCCTCGCTCGTTCCTGGAGGCCACCTCACCATCCTCGATGCTGTGATATCATCTTTGTTTTGGCGCTTCTTTCTTCCCACGCTCGAAACTTTATGCTCGTGCTTTATTGTTTTTTAAAAATTTTTTAACGTTACCTCTCGGAGCTCCTTCTCTATCTGCACCGCCCGCTGCACGATGGGGCCCCGCACCGCGTACTCCACCCGCCTCACGTTGGGGTTCATGGTGTCCAGAGTCAGGACCTTGTCCCCGCACGAGACCCCGTTCACCGCCTCTCGGGACATCTTGGTTCCGTTAGCCCGCTGAATCCCGCACGCACTGAACCGTTATCTGAAAAGCACCAAAGAAGAAGAACTAGCTACAGAATATAAATCAGAGAAGAAGAACGTCAACAGTAGTAGTTCGTAGCGCGAGGAGATAACGTTTTATCACTTTTTACCAGCTGCTCCGCGGAGGTGGAGGTCCTCGTCAGCTCGAACTAAGTTTGTTTTCTCTCCGGAGACTTCTGAGCCTCTCAGTTTTCATATTATCCCAGGAGGACCGCCACGCCTCCGCTACAAACCGCAGCCGCTCGGCCACTTGGACTTTCTTCCCCCCGAGCCTGCCAAATGACACATTCACGCGCTGCTCGGAAAACACGGCTTCCTGTAATATAGGGATAGTCACGTGCAGCCTCAAGGAGAGAAATAACCGCAGTTGAGAAATATTAAAAATAACAAAATTAACGATATAACTCTATTAATACCCAATATATGCGTTAAAGCTAAATTTAGTTTGTTATAAATCATTAAAATATACTATCAGCGATTAAAATGTAGCAAGAAGCTTTGAATTACCACTGTTGTCCTCGCCACTTGAATGCAGCAGATTTTATCCTAATATAAGTCAATTTACAAAGCTGATAATGAGATTTCCTGTTCTTTCTGTAAGTTTTTTCCAGAAACATCTATTCATCTTTTTTGTAAATGTACATACAGAACGTTTGGAAGGACAGTGTTGCTCTGATATCCAATAATATCCAACCAGGTTTCCTTCTCTATTATGAAAATGTTTTGTTTGGTATCCTAGATTTCAAGACGAAAGACTCCTCTCACATATTTATTATCAATCTGATCTTGTTTCTTGCAAAGTTCCATAAACATAAAATAATGCACAGGAAACCTTTTTTTATCTCTTTGCAATGGACTCAATCTCAGACTCGAATAACAAAAAGGCTATAAAAACAAAAAATATATACCTGTAATGAATACAATTTAAATTTAACTCTCATTTATTTATTTCTATATTTCATTTTATTATTGTTTATTTCCTTTTTTTCTCCTTTCTTTGATATGTTCAATGTTCTTCAATGTGTATTTTTTGAGACGGTTGTAATTGAAGTAAAGTTCTAAATAAAGATTTGAAGGAAAAAAGTTGCAACTTTTTATGTCTGCATAACAAAAATTACAAATAAGCATCTACAGAGAGCCCATATACATTTAAAGTGTAATTACATTAGTTTCATGGTCATATTGTTCATCTGTAAAACAACCTGTGCGTATTTATCTAAGCACTTTTGTGAGTCCTAGTTAATTGAGATAATCAAATTTTATTAATCTGTATTTAAATTAAAAACGGAAGATAATCACTCTAAATGTGGTCCCTTTTGAGTTACAAGAGCAAAGTCCTAAAATAGTTTTTGAATACAACTGATTTAATTTTATCAGCTGCTTTTGAGTTAATTAACAGTAAATTACTAATTAATCACCAGAGATGTGTTGAAATGTTTAAAGTTTTTAGAACAAGATAAGAGATTTTCAGAGTTTTGTCGCTGCACTTAATATTAGAGTAAACTTAAACATGTTGCAACGTTAAAGGATAAAACTGACCCATGGATTTAGTTAACAGTATAAGTCAATATGTAATCAGACTAGATTACATATTTGTAACCAAAGTGCAAAAAATTGTTAATCTTCATGTAACAAAAACAAAAACATAATGATCTGTTTCTGCAAGCTGCTGCGATGGTGAATGTTTTATTAGCTTCTCTTTATTACTCTTTGCAGACTTGGCACAAAACCACAATCTCTTAAAGAACTCAAATATTTGCCTATTTCTTCATCTCTGCTTCTTTCTGTTGAAAGTAACGAACAACGTTCACAAGATGATTAGAACTTAAAATAATAAAATTAGACAACTTGACAAAGATGACTTTCAGCTACTTCCACACCAAATTTAACTTCATTAACTGTAAAACTGACATTATTAGTTGGCTAAAGTGAGTTAGCTGTGGTGCCCATCTTGAATTAGGCTGACTCTAAAAGTTAATCAGTTTGAGATGTACGTCATGTTACTTTTCAGGGAAGCTTACTGAAACACCCTTTGGTTCCTGAGATAATTTACCGATGAACTGGTTTGACACCAACAGTGTCAAAGTTTTAATATTATACAGTGTGTCATGCTGAGAGAATGGGGTTGGCACTGAGCTCCCAACACACTCAATTTTAGCTAAGTGCACGTAGAATCGGTTGAGATTTAGCCATTTTTATGTTTTCTAAGGTCGGTTGGCTGTAGTGGCCATCTTGAAATAGACTGACTCCTAAACGTAAACGGCTGTAGTTTTGTATCCAGTGATCGTTTCCTGAAAGTTTCATTAAAATCCACTCAGTGGTTCAGGAGATGCTTTGCTAACAGACACATAAATATGCATAAACATCTTCCCCCCCTTTTCTTTGGGAGTGCTAATAAGAATTACAGGTGATGGTCATGAATTAGAACATCATGAAAAAGTTGATTTATTTCAGTAATTCCATTCAAACAGTGAAACTTGTTTATTATATTCATTCATTACACACAGACTGATATATTTCAAATGTTTATTTATTTTAATGTTGATGATTGTAACTGACAACTAATGAAAACCCCAAATTCAGCATCTCAGAAAATTAGAATATTGTGAAAAGGTTCAATATTGAAGACACCTGGTGTCACAGTCTGATCAGATAATTAACTCAAAACACCTGCAAAGTCCTTTAAATGGTCTCAGTCTGGTTCTGTAGCTACACAATCATGGAGAAGACTGCTGACTCAACAGTTGTCTAAAAGACGACCATTGACACCCGCACAAGGAGGGCAAGACACATGAGGTCATTGCTAAAGAGGCTGGCTGTTCATAGAGCTCTGTGTCCAAGCACATTAACAGAGAGATGAAGGGAAGGAAACAATGTGGTTAAAAAAAATAGTGCACAAGCAATAGAGATATCTGCACCCTGGAGAGGATGGTGAAACAAAACCCATTCCAAAATGTGAGGGAGATTCAACGAGTGGACTGCAGCTGGAGTCAGTGCTTCAAGAACCACCACGCACAGACGTATGCAAGACATGAGTTTCAGCAGTCGCATTCCTTGTGTCAAGCCGCTCTTGAACAAGAGACGGCATCAGAAGTGTCTCACCAGGACTGCTGCTGAGTGGTCCAAAGTTCTGTTCTCTGATGAAAGTACATTTAGCATTTCCTTTGGAAATCAAGATCCCAGAGTCTGGAGGAAGAGAGGAGAGGCACAGAATCCACGTTGCTTCAGGTCCAGTGTCAAGTTTCCACAGTCAGTGATGGTTTGGGGGGCCATGTCATCTGCTGGTGTTGGTCCACTGTGTTTTCTGAGGTCCAAGGTCAATGCAGCATCTACCAGGAAGTTTTAGAGACTTCCTGCTGCTGACCAACTTTATGGAGATGCAGATTTGGGGTTTTCATTATAATCACCAACATTAAAAGAAATAAACATTTGAAATATATCAGTCTGTGTGTAATGAATGAATATACAAGTTTCACTTTTTGAATGGAATTACTGAAATTAATCAACTTTTCATGACAATCTAATTTTGTGACCAGCACCTGTATGTAACACTGTGAGAAGTCGAAGAGACCGCACGGTGAGGCTTTACGATCGTCACGGTTTACATTAAACGGGCGTAACGCTGAGACTTCATCACCTACAGCTGCTTTTTTCCTCTCTTCACATGAAATCTGTGCAAATATTCTCGTTGAAGCAGGACGTGCTAGGGCATGCTCTGAAATGCTGTGTGCTACCACTGAAGCAGGTATTTCAGCTGCGTTCCTTCAATAAAATTGTCCATTTCTTCTTCTCACTAAACATGAACTCGGTCACGCACGTTGGGTTTGGAGCTACAAACCTAAAGCAGTTGGACGTGAAGACGTCGGCGAACGAGGAAAAACAAGTTGCTGTGAAGAGCAGGCCACCGACAGCCAAAGGTGTGTACTGTATGTGACCCTCCAGACATGTTGGAATGGACTTGGGGAAAGATATTTGAGATCCCTAAAAACTAAAACCGGTGTCATGCAGGCACGGGACGCCCCGGTGACTTTTAGGCGTCACACCGAGCGTGTTTTGGCAGAATCAAACGACGAGTTAACGGAACGGATTACGTCAGAGCAGCCCTTTAAAAACTAACGATCAGGAAAGTTTGAGGCGAGGTAAATCCTGGTGTATTTATTTATTCAAAGAGGATTTTAACCTGAAACTTTTAAATAATTTTTGTAGTTTTGTACCAAATGCATGCAGACGGTAACTGCTGAGACTGATCAGGACAGACGGTGACATCTGAGATGCACTGAAGGGGCGGGAGGCCATGAAGAAAGAAGCAACAAGAGGAGGGTGAGGGTGGAAAAAGGGGGCGACTATTCGGTTTCAACACATGTGCAGGACACTCCCACCTTCAGACATAAACATGCACTTCTAACGGTCACGCTGGGAATAAAGAAAGGCTTTCTCCAACTCTGACCTGTTTCAAACAGAAGTAGAAAACATAATATTTTGGATTAATTCTCTTCAGTTATTACAGATATTGATCATTGCAACATCTACACTCAGTTACCAAAAGGAGCTCAAATTTTAAAACTTTGTCCGAGCCACTTTCAGCTGATACGTTAACTCGAGTCAGATACTCGATATCTTTTCTCGGTTGCAGGTTCATGAACAAGAGTTTGTCTCACGACGTTCTGTTGCTCGTTCCACATCAGGATCAGTAATGACGGAATGATCCAGACGTCTTTCTGGCTTCAAAGTTGATCAGCTGCCAAGAGAAGTCTACACTAGATCCAACAAAGTTCAGTCAGGTCATCTGGACGGTTTCTTTTTGTTTGTTTGTTGTTGAGACGTTTCGCATTCATCCAAACGACTTCATCAGTCTGAGGAGCACAACTCAGTCCCACAAGCAGCACACTCACACAGTGGACCAACCAGTTTGCTGGTGATAAGATGGTTTCTGGAGCCCACCCTCTCCACTGTCGACTCCTCTTAGGCAGCCATAGCCAAAGTGGTCCAAACAAGTCCTTTGGATGAAACATCTCAACAAAAAATGAAACCATCCAGATGACCTGACTGAACTTTGTTGGATTTTTTTACCTGGATTACTGAGCATGAACTTTGGTGTTTTGAATCACCTTGACTATGGCTGCATCAGAGGAGTCGACGGGGGAGAGGGTGCGCCCCAGAAACCATCTTATCACCAGCAAACTGGTTGGTCCACTAAGGGAGTGTGCTGCTTGTGGGACTGAGTTTGTTGTGGCTCCTCGGACTGATGAAGTCCTTTGGATGAAGGATGAAACGTCTCAACAAAAAAAGAAATCGTTCAGAGGACCTGACTGAACTTTGTTGGAATTTTTTACCTGGATTATTGAGCATGAACTTTGGTCAATACTAAATGACTTTGGCACATTGATTTTTAGTATTTTAGTAGTATTTTTAGTATTTTGGTAGTATTTTCAGTGTTTGTTTTTTTTTAGTATTTTTAATGTTTTTTTAGTATTTTAGTAGTATTTATAGTATTTTGGTTGTATTTTTTGCATGTTTAGTATTTTTAGTATGTTTTTTAGTATTTTTAGTAGTATTTTTAGTATTTTGGTAGTATTTTTTTAGTATTTATTAGTATTTTGGTAATATTTTGATAGTATTTTTAGTATTTTGGTAGTATTTTCAGTGTTTTCTTTTGTATTTTTAGTATTTTTTTTAGTATTTTAGTAGTATTTTTAGTATGTTTTTTTTAGTATTTTAGTAGTATTTATAATATTTTGGTTGTATGTTTTGTAGTATTTTTAGTATTTTGGTTGTATTTTTAGTATGTTTTTTTCAAAGTATTTTAGTAGTACTTTTAGTATGTTTAAAAAAAAGTATTTTTAGTATTTTGGTAGTATTTTTATTTTTTATTTATTTATTTTTTTTTAGTATTTTAGTAGTTTAAACGTGCCTCGGTCTGCCAGCATGGAGGCCTCTGTTGACATCTGCAACTACTTTACCAGATACTTTGCTGATAAGGTAGAGTTGAGTAGGTCATCCATCCCCCAGTCCACAACTGATCTCTCTGTCTTTGTCCCTTGCTCAGCTGTCTTCAAACAGTTTGAACCCATTTCTAAACCGTCGTTGGTCAGATGAAACCCTCCGGTTCCCCCGCTGACCCCATTCCTGCATCGTTTTTCAAACAAGTTCTACCCACGATTGGACCCTCTGTTCTTACTATTATAAATAGTAGTATTGTGACAAGTGTGGTTCCCGATGTTTTCAAGCATGCAGTAGTTCATCCGTTAATTAAGGAACCTGGACTTGATCCTTCGACCTGCTCAAATTTCAGACCAATCTCAAAACTTCCCTTCCTGTCCAAAATCCTGGAGAAAATAGTTCTCATTCAATTAAACAAGTTTTTGAATGAGAACAGATTTTCCAGTCTGGTTTTAAGCAACTCCACAGCACTGAAACAGCATTAGTGAGGGTTTGTAACGATATTATGATCTCAAACGATTCTGGTCAATTTGCGGTACTTGTGCTCCTGGACCTTACTGCTGCTTTTGATACTGTTGACCACAGTATCCTTATATCACGGCTGGAACAGTGGGTTGGGATCAGGTGCTGCATTAGAATGGTTCCACTCATACCTGAGTGGCAGGAGCTTCTGTGTCAAGGTTGGTAATAATGTATCCGCCTCATTACCTCTTTCGTGTGGGGTCCCACAGGGTTCAATTCTTGGACCCCTTCTGTTCTCACTTTATTTGTTCCCACTGGGGTCCATCCTGAGGAAACATGGTCTTTCATTCCATTGCTATGCTGATGACTGTCAGATCTACCTGCCTGTGAAACCAGCAAGTGTTTGCTCCATTCACCCTCTGTTAAAATGTCTGGACGACATTAGGGCCTGGATGGCTTCAAATTTCTTAAGTTTTAACAATGAGAAGACTGAAGTCATTGTCTTTAGCCCTAGCTCAACTGCCACCACTGATCCTGTCAACCTGGACTCTCTTCAGCCATATCTGAAGCAGTCTGGTAAAAATCTCGGGATGGTTTTAGACTCTGACTTCAAGTTTGACAAACAAATCAACTCTGTTCTGCAGAAAAGCTTCTTCCAACTCAGACAGGTAGCTAAGCTCAAGCCAGTGTTGTCCAGACCCGACCTTGAGAAACTAGTCCACGCCTTTGTCACGACCCGATTGGACTATTGCAACGCACTGTATGCTGGGATCAGCCAGGCCTCATCTCACGTCTTCAGCTCGTCCAGAATGCTGCTGCTCAGCTTTTAACCAGAACTCGTAGGTCTGAACATATTACTCCAGTTCTGTCCTCGCTTCACTGGCTCCCTGTTCGTACGAGGATAGTCTTTAAAATTCTTCTGTTGACCTTCAAATGCTTAAATGGCCTCGCACCCCTTCACCTCTCTGATCTACTGGAACCTTACGTTCCCTCTCAGGCCCTGAGATCATCCGATCAGCTGCTTTTGGCTGTTCCAAAAACAAGAAGCTCAGAGGAGATCGGGCTTTTTCAGTCATGGGCCCCAAACTCTGGAACAACCTGCCCCCCAGCATCAGGCAGGACACCTCCCTTCAACCTGCCCCCCCAGCATCAGACAGACCACCTCCCTTCAACCTGACCCCCAGCATCAGACAGACCACCTCCCTTCCTCACTTCAAATCCCTGCTAAAATCACATCTGTTCTCTCAGACATTTCACTCAGTGTAAATTGATCTAGTGTTTTTTTAATCTGTGACCTTATGTTTAAAATGCTTTTTATTAATTCTTCAGTTATTCTTAGTGTATCGTATTTTTTCTCGTTAATTTTACTCTCATTGATTGTTGTTGTTAAGTACTTTGATAACAGGTTCTGTTTTAAATGTGCTCTATAAAGTTGACTTGATTAGTGTTTTTGCTGCATGCTTTTGTATTTATTATTGTATTTTTTTTTGCCAGTCGAGACGGTTCTTCTCGTCCTGAGCATTTAATTGCATTGTTGACCTTGTGTTGATTTTGCATATGACAAATAAACCTAACCTGAACCTGACGTATTAATCATTTTTTTCAAATAAAAAATTAAGAGAGAGATGGAATATTTTACATTTAAATTATGTTGGGGGACCAGATTTGGCCCGCGGCTCTTGTGTTCGACTGATGTGACGCATTAAATGGGAGCACTTGCATTTGAAAAATACAAAAAGTCATTTGCAAAACATCTGTAATTTTTTTTCAAACAGGAATCAGTAAAAATCACTGACAAAACCGAGATGTAGTACAAAACCCGGGAGTGCATTTACAGTCCGTGTCAGATTATTGAATGCCATATTTACAAGTTTAACACACTTTGTGCAAACCAACATTAAATAAGCCACTAAATGAAGGCACTGAACCTTCACGATCGTGTGAAAAGAGTTTTTTGACAGTGCTCTCTGTGAAACGTACAAGCAGGACTTCTCAGAATAACAATAAATAATGATTTTACTCTACAGGGAACAAAATAGAAATACTGACGAGAGAATTATGATAAATGTCAGAGTCAATTAAATATTGTATTTTAAAGAAAAAATACAAATTGCACCTTTAAAAAAATTGAAATGTATTGTTTTATGTTAAAAAGCAGGGAATTGAAACTATTCAAACTAAAAGAAAAAGTGCATTTTTGTGTAACTTCTCAACCAATCAGTGACCCGAACATCATTCAACCCAGAAGGAACGTGATTATCACAAATGTTTTTTTAATTTAAAAAGCATGTTTGCATGATTCGAAGCCGTCGACTTTTAACAGAGAAGTCTTTAGTTCTTACATTCAGACAGAAAAGCTCCGCAACATTTTGCAGCACGAGAAATGGAAGTAAAACCCCATCAATAAATAGATTGCACTCTAATTGCGTAGATCAAGCCATCGTTGGCACATGGCAGCCCCTCTCAGCAGAAAACACGTTCGAAATGTTTGTCACAGTCCAGGAAAACGTCTCGCGCTGCAACTAATCACGTCTCTGCGCTGAACAGTTTATGTTGCATGATGGGTATAATAAAAATAAAGCGTTTCATTATCCGTTTAACCTGTGCAATAAATTGTATACGTTGATGCTCAGTTCCATCCTGTTTGTGGGAAGAGACGAGGACAGGTGAGTGGGAGGAGACGTAGAGCAGCGAACAGGTGTGGAAGTCTTCGTGACGTCTTACGTCAGTTTGCAGACTCAGTGTTTTGGCCAAGTGAGCAGTCGAACCTCAGACATGTTGAAAGGCACGTGATCATGTGAAGCTGAAGGTAAACGCAGACGAACAGTTTGACGCTTGCGCCACGCTCCGCTGTGAGACTGGAGTGCACTCAACCTTTAAACCCGTTTTAATGGAAGCTCGTCGCGCCGGCTCGGTTTCTGGAGTCTACATGAGGCCGCAGCACGGCTCCTTGTTGTTGGTCTGCTCCTCCTCTGGGGCTCGAAGTTTCAGTAAAGGAGGATCTCCGCTGGCAGGGGTGAAGTACACCTGGCTGGGGGAGGCCTCCTGCTCTGCTGTGGGGGCCGCTTGGGTTTCTGACTGAGTCTGAGGAGTTGTTACCTGCGCTGCTGCGGCAGAAGGTTCCTCCTCCTCTACAGCAGGGGGAAGAGGAGGAGGAGGTGCTGGGTACTTATTGAGCTTAGCGGCCGCCCGCTGGCGTTTCAGGTCAGCCAGCGTGTGGTGCGATTTCTCCCGAGTCATGCTGTCTGCAGCTTCGCCCTCTGAGGACCCGGCTCCAGACGCAGGGCTGAGCTGGTAGGAGGCGCTGCTGCCCCCGCCCGTCCACAGCTCGCCAGGGACGGAAGAAGACAGAGAGACAGAAGTCTCCCCGTTTTCTAAACTGGACGCAATCTTCCTGTCGTCAACCTGCAGCTCCTCTACATGTGCGGCTGCTGCACCACCGGCGACCTGAAACAGAACGCGCAGGTCGATCAGAGCCGCTCTTAATGTGACGAAAGTAAAAAACAAGAAAGAACGAGAGCTGAAATTTACTGGAGAAGCTGAAACGGAGCTGTTGAAGCTAAAAGAAGCAAAACACCAGCTAAAAGCCCAAAGTGGCAAAACGCAAACGAAAAGTAGAAAAATGTGGTAAAAAATGCAAAATAGCAGATAAAAGCTAAAAAAAAATAATAGAAGGCTAGCTTAAAGCCAAACGTTGCAAAACACTAGCTGAAAGCAGCAAAAGTAGCTAAATGCATGCGAAAAGTAAAAGGAGGCTAGCTAACAGCAGCAAAACAGTAGCTTGAGTCGAGAACAGTGGTTCTCAAACGGGGGTCCCAGGACCGCAGGGGGTCCGCAAGCAGGTGCTTGGATGTCCGGAAAAAATAAAAAATAAAATTTACAAGCAAAGCGTTAAAATACAAAATGCAGAAATCACATCTACTTTATTCTTTA